ATTAAATGAGCAGTGGTGGGCAGCACTAAACTAAGAATTAGTTCCGCTAGCCCTAAAGCACTAACTCAAATATTTATGTCCCCTAATTCTAAATGACTAACACACTGAAAATTTAGCAAAAGTTAATTCTACTGTATGAAAAGTGAGATTTTTTTCCCCTGTAAACTGGTGTAAATTTCACTAACTCACAACAAACACTGGCAGTTTACACCTCAGTCTGCTGTACTAAAGCTGTCGGAAATGTTAGCGGGGGATTCAGCCGGCCGGAGTTGTGTACGAATGGCAGGATAAGCAGCAGCAGACCCCCCCTTACTCCTCAGTCATTGTTTAACAGAGTATCTGCAGGTTTTAGCATCTCAAATTTAAGACTTTTTAAGACCTTTTCAATACCACCCTGTATGAAAGTTCAGACTGAAAAAACTATATCAGCGAGCGTTGGGGAATTGTGCTGTATAATAACCAATAATCACACGTCACTCAATGAAACACATTGATATGCAGTGCTCTCTGGTTCTTTAGCTGTATTGCCAAAGTGCAGTTACTTGGTTGGAAACATCCAACAAAAATACATCTAGTGAATACATGGGCCTAATTGTGTCTTAATATCCAGCTATACCTTTATACACAAAAAATCATGCAACTACACACTTATACTTAACCCTGCACCACCAAAGCCAACAATATTCTGAAGGAAGTGAGTTTTATAAAAAACAACTTCTCTGTAGTTTACTATGAAGTAATTTAAGTTTTTACAGGGAGTTCTTTGCAAAGTATAAATTATTTTTTAAATTTATTAATATGACAGATTTCTCCCCTAAAACCACTATTTAATTCAAAGAGAATACAGGATTATAATTCACAAAGTCCTTTAAAACTATTTATTTTTCATATTTGATAATGTATGAATTATTTTTATCACAGTACATTTACCTGTCAGTTTTAGGGGTGCACCAAAAAATCGTTTAACATCAGAATCTGGGACGTCCTGATGTCACATGCAGCTAGACCTGGAATGTATGCATGTGCAGAAAGCACCAAAAACAAAAAGGAAATTACAAAACTGGAGGAAAGAGAGATTCTACTGAACCTGTCTTCATTGAATGCAAAGATTTGGGCTCATTTTGTTTTTTACTGAATGAGTCTGAGTTTGACATGAGCTTCACTGTGTGCAAAAATTGCAAAATGAAGATGAAACACTTTAGGAACACGACAAAAGGGCTCACATTGAGTTTTGAATGAAAAAAATCGATTTTGAATCGAATCGCCGCTACTCAGTTTTCTTTTAAACATATTAAAAAGTTTAGCACAATCAAACAGACAAAACAAAGTATAATTCTTAAAACATTTTGTAGGAATAACTTGTGCACATATTTAAGATAAACTAGCTACAACCAGCTGAAACTGACCCACAGACAGGACTTTGTGAATTAAAGATAATTAAATTTAAACAGACACACGTCTTTGCTGTATTCTGGGATCTACAAATATTTAACTTTTAATTAGATTTTTGAAATGCTTTATTTTCCTTATTAAAAAGCAAATTATTTAACCCTCCAATCGTCCTCAAATATAAAAACAAATTTGGTCCTTGGGGTCAATCTGACCCCAGGGATATTTACTTCGTGAAAATGATTTACGGAGTATTGTTGACCACGTTTTTGTGACAGGCACTTTGTTTATTTGTTGAATACATAAATAACCCTTTGAAAATCAGTGAGTTGACCTGTACTCTAGCGCCACTATCAGGCCAAACCTTTAAATTAGAATTAATTTATCTTGAATTTTTCACACAAATCTTCTCAAATTTATTTATTTTTTTATTTTATTTTTAACAATTGTATACACAACTTCAAAGTTCTTAAAAGTAATGTTAAAACCACATTTAATGATGAATAGTTTTTGCCATAATATGTACAATTACAGAATGTTTTGTGACCAGGAAGTGCTTGACTGCACCATGAAACCTATTTTTCCCATTTCCTCAAACACACCACATTTCCGAAACAACCAATCAAAACAGTTTTTCTCTACTGGGCTTGTAAACATAGGCCGTGTCCAAAACAGCAGGACGGGTCCTCCGAAGGCCGAATTCGTCGGCTGCATACGTCACAGCCCCGCGACGAAGGACGTCCAAAACAGAAGACTCCTCCGATGCGGCCGACAAATATGTCCTTCTTTTTCCCCGATTTGAAGGACAGGTCTGATGGATCCTTCCTGGCCCAGCATATCCCATAATGCATTGCGGCCCGACCGGAGATTTGTTTAAGCTAGTAATGGCGGACGAAGCGAGAGAAAAGAATACGCTTTAAATAAATATATGGTGATTTAAAAATTTAAAAAATTTAGCGGTTGTAATTCTAATACTTTTATCATTTGTATAGACATGTTTTTAAATATTATTTTTATCATAAAAAACGCGAAATAAACATGCACCTACAGCCGGTCAATTAGTTCTTCAAATATTACCTTTAAGTTAATTTTATAGTTTTGTGATATCAATAATGCTAATATATTGATATTTTTCTAGTTTTAATTTAAGTTTGCTTGTTTAGCGTCGTCACAGTTGCTAGGTGACATGACGTAC